CTGCCTTGACCCATATGGACAATTTACTGTGCCCCAACCCCTTCTTTATTTATATTCTATAAAAAGACAATCAAATTTAACTAGGAAGTTTATAAGAATAAACAACAATGACAAAAACATAATCCCACCATCCTAACACTAATTTTTGGAAACCCAAGGAGGGGTTGCTATGAGTCAGGTCCAACTCGACAGCACAACAACAACAACAAACATTAATTTTGAGTTTTATATATCTCCTCTCACGTGCATAAGAATTTTTACCTAGTTACAATCATAACTAGGACCCATTGCTCAGAGAGAACTCTGTAGGCAGAAAAGAAACGTTCCTGTTGTGGCTGCTGGAAGGTAGCCAAATTCTCCACTAATTCTTTGTACAACCTAGGCCTCATGCCCACTATGTCTACTGGGTTGCAAATATTTATCAATGAAACTTCCAGAAGTTCATAATCTACTGAGAGAGATTGACTTCATAATACACTATTGTTCTTCCAAACTGCCATTGCCAATACCTTCAATCTCTCCCAACAGTATGGACAGAACACACTAACTGAATCACCCCAGTCATGTTGTTGTTTTGTGCTGTCAAGTCAATTCCAACTCATAGAAACCCTATATAACAGAGTACAACTGCCTCACAGGATTTCTAAGGCTGTAGTCTTTACAAAGGAGCTCTGCTGGCATAGTGCCTAAGGCACTTGATGGCTAACCCAAAGGCTGGAGATTCAAACCCCAGCCACTCCTCAGAAGGAAGGTTGGGCTATCTACTTCCGTAGTGATACTGGCTTGGAAACCCAAGGCGGCGTTGCAATGAGTCAGATCCGACTCAACAGCAGTGAGTTTGGTTTTTTTTGGTTTGAATCATACAAAAGCAGATTGCCAGGTCTTTTCTCCCAAGGAGCCCCTGGTGGGTCTGAATAACTGACCTTTCAGTTAGCAACCGAACGCTTAACCCTTGTGCCACCAGTGTCATAGCCCTTTGAAAATCCCTGCAATCCTTTCCTTTCTGTCACTGGAAGATAATTCTAATGACTTAGAGGTTCTCCCCAACCCTGACATCTGCCTGAAGACATTTTTTTTTCTGCTATCAAAGCATCCACCTGCTATTCAAAGTAAATCCTTCCCTTAGCCATTCTCACTCTCACTGCCACTGAGTCGCTTCCGACTCAGAACGACCCCTCCTTGGGTTTCTGAGGCAGTATCACCACAGAAGTAGATAGCTCAATCTTCCTTCTAGGAGTGGCTGGTGGGTTTGAACTACCAGCCTTCTGGTTAGCAGTCAAATGCCTTAGGCACTATGCTGCCAGAGCTCCTTGTTATGTTGTTGTTGTTATGTGCCGTCGAGTCGGCCCCGACTCATAGCGACCCCTCCTTGGGTTTCCGAGGCAGTATCACTACGGAAGTAGGATTGCCCAACCTTCCTTCCGAGGAGTGGCTGGTGGGTTTGAACCGCCAGCCGTCTGGTTAGCAGGCAAGTGTCTTAGCCACTATGCTACCAGAGCTCCCGCCAGAGCTCCTAGTGCTCCCTTTTCCACATTCTGGTCTTTCCCTGGACTGCCTCGCTGCCCCATCTATCCTTCCTCCTCTCCCACTGCAATTTTCCATAGCACTTGAAGGAAAATAGCTTTCACTCTTTCTCTCTGAAGTGGGGCTCCTTCAACAGAGCCCCATTCCTTGCACAGACCTTCTGTGTAGGACAGAAATTAAACTCAACTACCTACAAGGGCCAGGCAGGGCAGAGAGTCTTCTTCTGACTTCATTTGCATATTAAGTATATGGAAACATTCTTTACTTTTAGAAAGAAATATGCTCCCTCTTGTTTTTCTCCTTGAAACATATGGCCCCTAGTCAATTTTTCCTTTTCACAATTTTTACAGAGTTAGGAATACAAGAACTATTTCATTTTCCTCTTAATTCTACTATAAGAAAATAACAGAGCAAGAGATGGGAGAGCTTGTGAGTAAATAGAGCCCTGGGTGAGGTAAATGGTTAACTGTGAGACTACTAACCAAAAGGTGGGCAGCTCAAACTCACCCAGGGGTACCTCAATCTGCTTCTGAAAGGTTACAGCCTGGAAAACCCTATGGAGCACTCTCCATGAATAGGAATTGACTCAATGACAACTTTTTGTTTGGTTGGTTGTTTATGTGCTGTCAACTCGATGGTACACAGCAACAACAACCAAGAAGACTACTCTCCAAACGTTGTTTGCCAGATGGAACCCGCCCCAGTGTTGCTAGATCTTCTGACTTTTCAGTAGACAGAAATCCAGATGTCTTGTGATAAATTGTGTGTTTAAAATGATGACTGATAATTTTAAAAAATTTAAAACGCTGCAAACTTTAAACAAGTATGCAAGGTATGATAAGAATGTCAATGTACAACCTTTGGCACTGCAAATTCTAACAGATGTCTATGCTATTTTACTTGATTTGCTTAACTTAAAACTGACAGTTACATGGTTATGCCCATTACAGAGGTCAATAATCTGTTCCTGTATTCATTCTGTATATTTATGGTATATCTGTGTTTTCTAGTCTATCTCCACAACGTATTGTTAATAGTGCCTGTTAGGGACTGAACTGTGTACCCCAGAAGGATATGTTGAAATCTTAATCCTGTGAACTTGTAGTACCTGTGAACTTGATATTACTTGGAGATAGGGTCTTTGAAGATGTTATTCAATTAACATGAGGTCAGACTGGAGTAGCGTTGGTTCTAATCCAATATGGGTGGTATCCTTATCCTTAGAAAAAAGAAGAGACACACACAGAGAGAAAATAGCCATGTGACCATGGAGACAGTGATTATAATGCCAAGGATTGCTGTCAGTCACCAGAAGCTAGGAGAAAGGCAATGGAACAGATTTTCTCTAAGAGCCCTTAGAAGGAATCAACATGGCCGACATCCTGATTTCAAACTCCTAGCCTCCAGAATTGCAATATAATAAATTTTTCTCTGAAATTTATTAGTTTGTAGTACTTTGTTATGGCAGCCCTAAGAAACTAATACAGATTATGACAGTGCAAAGATCAAACCAAGGAAGGTGCTCTGGTGGAACAGTGCCTAAGGCAATTGACTGCTAACCAGAAGCTTGACAGTTCAAATCCACCAGCCCCTCTTTGGAAGGAAGATGAGGCAATCCACTTCCATAAAGATTTACTGCCTTGGAAACGCAATGGGGATCGCTATGAAGCAGAATCGATTTAATGGCAGTGGGTTGGGTTTTGGTTTTTGGAAAGACCAAACTAGCCTCTTTCGCTCTTCTTTTTCTCCCTACAAGGGTAGTTAAGACAATGGTGTTTTTAAAATCAACTGAGTTTTTTAGAGCAGTGAGAAACTTCATAGTAATCTTACTGCAAGGCCTTATTCCATAGAGGTCTGAGTAAATATGACTACGAGCTCTGGTAGCATAGTGCCTAAGGCATTTGACTGCTACTCAGAAGGCTGGCGGTTCAGACCCAGCAGCCACTCCTCAGAAGGAAGATGCGGCAATCTACTTCCGTAGTGATACTGCCTCGGAAACCCAAGCTATGAGTTGGGGCCAACTCGACTGCACATAACAACAACAACAACACTACAAAAAATAAAACTCATCGCTATGACAAAAACTCAAAATAATGTATGTAAGCCACTACTCTCAACATGTGCCTTCTTTAAGACTAACCTGGTGAGTCCTGAGCCTGGTGAGACAAATCCAGAGGATTTTTCCCACCTATGAACTCCAATCATTTGACCTTTCCCCCATCAGCATTTATCCTCCATTTCATCATAATTACATGTAAGTCTGCCTTCCCTGTAAGGGGAAGGATCAAATCTTTCCATTGTATTACCAGAGCTGGCACAGTGCCTAGCACATAGTAGGCAAAGCAAGAGTTATTAATGAACTAGTATCATCATCCAAATAATAGCTACCATTGCCTGAGTACTTCCTGTGTACTAAGAGTACTTTACCAATATTATCCTGGAAGCTTTTCCAGACCACCCAATCCAAAGCAGTATCCTAGTCACTTTTCTAGCACACTTCAATTCTCTGAGTAACTAAATAATTCTTTTAATTGGATTTAATGCTATCTATTCTTTTTTAATTATGTACTTATTGTCAACTGTCTAGTGGGGGACTAGAGGGCTAGCAGGAATTTCATCTACCTTATACTTGGCACATAGAATGCACATAAATGAATTTAAACCTCCCACCTCCCTGGGTGGCAGAATTGGCTTGCACACGTTATATCTCAACAAGTATGTTCTAAAATTTAGATTTCATTATAATAGTGTTTAACATTTTATGGTTCGTAACAAACTCTGTGATAGAGGAGGGGAATTAAACTAAAAGTTTATTCCCCTTGACATGGGTGCGGGAATTTTTGCTGCAATAAGATAGCCACTTCCTCTGACATAAGGTCCTCCACGTGTCTGTCTTGCCACATCTTCTGATAGAGATGACACTCATCAAAGCTAGGCTGGCTGGAGCGGTTAGAACTCTAGACGCTACCCTCCTTATACCAAGGGTAGTCAGACCCCTCAGTCTGCGCAGAGTAGCTGTGCAGGAGGGTCTACTCGGACCCGCGTGGCACTCCCGTGGGGCTGTGCTCTGGTTGCCCAAGCCTACTTGCCCATGCGATTCTCCGTTTGGAACTCCCCTTCCCACGGCATTCCGCCTCCGTTCATCCTCAAAGCCCAAACGCCCTGCAAGGTCAAGCTCTGTGCATCCCCAAGCCTCTGGTCGAGACGTCACTGAGCCCCGCATCACGTGACAGCAGACCTGCGCTAGCAACCACACTCTCTGGGCAGGTTGCCCGCCCTCCACCCCTAACTCGGGCCAGTCGGGTCCCGGTTCCAGCCCACGCCGGCCGAGGCCCCGCCCACCGCGACCCCGGGCGGCCGGGCTCTCTGTTCCGCCCCCTCGCTCCAGCCCGCGCAGGTCCGCCTTCGCCCCGCCCCTCGAGGCCCCACTTATTCAGCCGCTTGCGGGGACCGCCACCTTCGTTGCCAGAACTAGCTGGCTGGTTGCTGCCGCAGCTGCGCGACCTCATCCTCTGTGTCATCGCTGCCGCCATGCCTGGAGGTCTGCTTCTCGGGGACGAGGCTCCCAACTTCGAGGCCAATACCACCATCGGCCGCATCCGTTTCCACGACTATCTCGGCGATTCGTAAGTGGTGATCTCGTAGCCCTGCCCTGGCCTCCGGTTACGCCCTAGCTCGGAGGTGCCTTCCGTCCTCCCACCCCTGAGCCCCTTCTGGCCTCCGGCTTCCTCTCCGCACCAGTCCCCACACGTGCCTCTGGCCATGTGGCCGATGCCCGCGTTACTGGGGGCGGTGGCCCTGCTGCGCCAGCTACTGCGTCCCCTCTCGCCTCCCAGCGGAGCTGGGCTGGTCTAGGGTGCCAGAGGGGGAGGGGAGCATGTCCCGGGAACGTGAGGCTGGTGCGGAGGAGGATTTGTTTTCCCGTTAACTCGGTTTGGTAAACTGCGCTAGGAGCATGGTCCGGCGGAGGCCGGGGGGGGCGGGTAGGGGCGGGGCGGCATCTGCGGTCCCTTACCCGGACTTGTGCCCAGGATAGCACCACCCTTGCTCCCTCCGACTTGGAATTTACTCCCTGGAGAAGATGGGTGCCTAAGGCCGGAGTCAGAGGGCACGGCTGCTGGCCGCAGTTTGGGCGGAGAGCACAGCCTGTTTTTTATCTCGAGTTTCTTCTTGCTCCTGTAGTGTTTGCAAACTGCTGGACACAAAAAGTAAAAAAAGCCCACTAAACTACCAGCTGCCAAGTAAGTGGCTGAAAGATATTTGTCCAGATCCTCCTCCGGTGGTCAGGATATAATAACAGCTTTGGGAGGAACCAGGAACACTGTGTATGTAGTTGTTGTCCTTCATTCCAGAACTTGTAACACTCTGAGGGACGGGCTTTCTGAAACTGTTAAACTGCAGCGACTTATTCTTGCCCTGATAGGCCATGGCGTCAGGACACGTGGATCTATCTTGTTGCTGTGAGACCTTTCTGTTTCTCCAGTGGTTTGCCACGCATTGCCCCTCTTCCTATTCCTTGCTTCCAGTACCTGACCTTGCTGGTAATAGCGTGATCTGACCTGGCAGTCATACCAGTTAGACTGGGAGAAAATCGGTATCATAGATCCTGAATCAAAATACTTTGAGTTGCTTACCTTATATTACGGTTCAGGAGTTCCAGTGACTCCACCACATAATGCTCCTAGGCCTGGCATTTTCCCCCTAGTTTGTATGCTTTTTATATTCAGTATCTAGGAGGAGGAGAGAGAGAAATTTATGAGATTAATCAACTATTGCTCACGGCTGTGCAGAAAATTTGGGACAGATTTTCATACATTAGACCTTCTCAACTCCTTTGTTGTTATTGTTATGTGCCCTCAAGTATGACCCAACTCACAGCGACCCCTCCTTGGGTTTCCGAGGCAGTATCACTACGGAAGTAGATTGCCCCATCTTCCTTCCAAGGAGTGGCTGGTGGGTTTGAACCACCAGCCTTCTGGTTAGCAGTCAAGTGCCTTAGGCACTATGCTACCAGAGCTCTCAACTCCTTAGAATCCCTTAAATTCATTCTCTAGCCATTGGCTGGGGAAAAGTTAAGCTTTGTCAGAGATTAGGCTTGAAAGGGCTAAGAACATTCAGATCTGGAAGGCAGTAAAATGTTGTATTAAAACAGAGTCCTCACCCCCTGTCGCGAAGAGCCAATAATCACAACAGGTTGAAGAGAGAAAGCAAAAAGTTTATTGAGTATCGATACCAAAGGATCAATATCCAAAATGTCTATCTCTGGGAGCTGGGGAATGGTTAGGGCTTTGAAAGGGAGGAGAGGTCTTAGGAATGCTAATTTTCATTACTGGATGAATTGTATTTTTTTTTTTTTTTCTCGGCCTTTACTCTGGTTGTTTATTTCTCGGCCTTTACTCTGGTGGGTGATAAATGGTCCTTCATACGCCTCACACCTGTCTAGAGAGATTAATTCTGCAAGGGAGGTGGTATGAGAGTGGGCCTCTCCTGTGAGAGTATCTCCGTTTTCTCCTTAGCTTGGCTGTCCCAGGGCTTGGTTTCTCCTTTCCCAGGGTCGCCTTGTAACAGGCTATGACTCTTAACTACAACTGACAGGGAAAAGAGTTATACTTTAAAGAGTAGTAAATCTAAAGACCTCAATGTCAGAAATAAAGGCTGGCTGTACCATTTGCTCAGATGAGAGTGATAAGGAAGGGGAAAGACAGTGAGTTAGTCACTAAGGTTAATGCCTACTTTAATTCTGCCTGTTTGTAAAGGTTTTACACCTTCAGCCTTCTATTTCAGCCTTCCTCAAAAAGGCTTCAGAAATATAGGCTATGGCCAGTCTCCTATGTGGAATTTATGTAGATATTAGTACTTCTCCAAAACTTCATGGGATTTTCAGTGTGTTTCTTTCCACTTCCACCTCCAGGCCTCATCTCCCATAAAACACAAAATCTTGGCTTGTATGGATTCAAGATAAATATAATACAGAGCATATTGCTATAGCAATAATTATTAAAAACAATGATTTAAATATTATTACTATTTAAGGTCATCATGCTATTTTGATTTCTCATTGTCCCCCTCATACACACATACACTGGGTTTCTGTTTTTAATTAACTTTTTATTGTGATTTGGATGAAAGTTTACAGGGTAATTGGTTTTCCATTCAACAGTTCATACACATTTTGTTTCGTGATAATTATTACAATCCCCACAATGTAACAGCACTCTTCCTACTTCCTCCCTGTGGTTGTCATTTCCCTTTGCCCTTCTTTCCTATCCATTCCTGCATTCTGAGCTTTACCCTTGGGCAAATGCTGCCTTTTCAATATCTTGTGTCTGGTTGTTCGAAGAAGTGTGTTATGTTCCTTCTTGAGTCTATCTCAATTTGATTAGAAATGATACTTTCTCAGGAACCTAGTAGAAAGATGAGAAAAATAACTGCATCTATAAACAAATTTGTGCTGCTCTGTAGGGTCAGACATGGTATAGTATTCCTGCCCTACCCCAAAAAGACGTTTGAGCCCTTTATATCATTATGATACATGGATTTTTACCTAATACATAATTTTTCCAAACCCAATTCTGTGTCTGATCTCTTTCAGGCTGTGAATTTTTGATCCATGTATTTTTAGGGGTGGGGGAAATTAAAATAATTTCAAACAGACAAAGTCTCTATCTACCCCTGACACCTGGAAAAGACTAAGGAGGTTTGGGTGCTGCATTTGGTGAGTTTCTGACCCTTATCAGTTTCTGTACTATGCTTGTATGTGGTACAAGCAGCTTCTCCATAGCACATCTTCACTAAACAAAGTATGTGTTATTGTGGGGGGTTAGTGGGTGGGGACTGTTCCCGTAAAACAGGAAAGTTTTAGTCTTTTGAAAATGAAGAAGGAAGATAAGGATAATGTAATTAAATTACTCTCAAGAGCAGCAGTAGGGAGACTTAGAGGGGAAACCAGACCAAGGTAAGACATTCTTGAAGTTTATCCTTTTTTTAGCCATATAATAACCTAGAATTTGAGTTCTGAAGGAAGGGGCGATGTGAAGTGGCTCAAAACCAATTCCTTAGCATGGTTCAGTAGAATAGTCTCTATTAATAGAAAAAGAACTCTTAACGATTCTATCATTGCCCCTTTAATAATACAGGAAGAAACACCCTTTTCCACTTGTTCTCTGCGTCTGGAGACTTTCTTTTAAGTCTCATCTGACCCTTAAGTAGGTTCTTTTCCATGAAATCTATTTTAGTTGTCTAGTGCTACTATAGGAGCTCTGGTAGCATAGTGGCTAAGACACTTGCCTGCTAACCAGACAGCTGGCGGTTCAAACCCACCAGCCACTCCTCGGAAGGAAGGTTGGGCAATCCTACTTCCGTAGTGATACTGCCTCGGAAACCCAAGGAGGGGTCGCTATGAGTCGGGGCCGACTCGATGGCATATAACAACAACAACAACAACAGTGCTACTATAACAGAAATACCACAAGTGGATGGCTTTAACAAGCAGGTATTTGTTCTTTCAGTTTAGAAGACTAGAAGTTCGAATTCTAGGACCCAGCTCTAGGGGAAGGCTTTCTGTCTCTCTCAGCTCTGGAGGAAGGTCCTTGTTTGTGAGCTTTTGTACCTGGGTAATATTTATGTGGCTTGGTATCTCTCGTCCACCATCTGTAGGAGGTTCTCCGTGTAGGGACCCTGGGTCCAAAGGATGCATTCTGCTCCTGCTTCTTCTTTCTTGGTGATACTGAGGTCCTTCTTTATTTCCTCACTTGTTTAATCTCTTTTATATCTCAAAAGAGATTGATGCTTTTGTTGATCTATAGCCTAATCCTGTAGATTGCATCCTGCCTCATTAACATAATTACCTCTAATCCTATCTCTTGAACATCATAGAGGTTAGGATTTACAACACATAGGATAATTGCATCAGATCACAAAATGGAGGATAATTACATAATACTGAAAATCACGGCCTAACCATGTTGACACATACTGGGGCAGGCGAGGGGGCGGTGGCACAATTTAATCCATAACAGAATCTAAGCCTAGATTTTAATCATAGCTAGATCTTTATTTCAAAAGTACATTGTTGTCGCAAAAAATAAGTTATTGTCGTTTGCTGTCAAGTTGATTCTAGCTTTTTGCAACCCTAGAGGACAGAGTAGAATGCTCCATAGGGTAGCCAAACCTGTAATCTTTACAGAAGCAAACTGCCACACCTCTCCCCTGTGGAGCTGCTGCTGCTGCTGTTGTTGTTGTTATGTGCCTTGGAGTCGACCCGACTCATAGTGACCCCTCCTTGGGTTTCTGAAGTAGTATCACTATGGAAGTAGATTGCCCAACCTTCCTTCCGAGGAGTGGCTGGTGGGTTTGAACTGCCAGCCTTCTTGTTAGCAGTCAGGTGCCTTAGGCACTACGCTACCAGAGCTCCCATGGAGCTGTTAGTGGGTTCAAAGTGCTAGCCTTTTATTTAACCAGACAAGCACTTAACCGTTGCACTACCAAAGCTCCTTTTAAAAGATATATGCCCCACTTAATTGCTCTAAAAATGCTGCCTTTTTCTCCCCAGTCTTGCTATAGGGCCCTCCTCCATTTTGTAAGAAGAACTTTTCCTTCCCTGACTCCTTGGGAGTTGAGTAGCAGATGTAATTGGGAGTAAAGCCACCGTCATCTCTGCCAGGAGTTCTGGTGGTGCAGTGGTTGAGGCATTCAGCTGCCAACCAGACCCACCGGCCATTCTACCAGTGAGAGAAAGACAAGGCAGTCTGCATCCATAAAGATTTACAGCCTTGGAAACCCTAAGGGGCAGTTCTGCTGTGTCCTATAGCATCACTATGAGCCAGAATCGACTTGATGGCAATGGATTTGGTCTTCTGTATCTCTGCTTCCTTCTTTGTGCTCAGGGAACCTTGGCAACTTTGGGAGAGATTAGCTTGGTCTCTAGGCTAGATTTAGTTCAGTAGCCTATCTCAATGTTGTAAGTGGGTGGGAGGGTGGAAACAAAGGTTTCCTTTTCAGTTGAAATAATAGTTTTTGTTGCCAAGGAAAAGGAAATGATAGTCCAAAATTTTTTGGTCACTTTTAGCTTGAAACATGCTAGTAATCTATATACAAGTTTGCTTTAGACAATTCCGAGTTACATATTATTATTTATCAAGAATGTATAGTTGTAGAAATCTAAATTGTAGGCAGTCAGTTGTCTACCTGCTTGGTCTGAAACAAGAAGAAAAAGAAACTGCAAATGAAGAGATAAATAGGGCTGTTCTTTTGTTAGGGACAAATGTGGGTGTCCTGTTTGGCAAGTTAGATCAGTGGAGTAGTTTTACAGGAACGTTTTTTTATCCATTCACTCCAAAGAAGCCAAGTGTCGCCCTTAATTTTACATATAAATAGGGGGTTGAAACCTGTTTATTTCTATTACATAATCTGTTCATTATTGCAGTCAGGTATTTGTTTGGATTCAGGGCATATTGGGACATTCGTTATTGGAACTGAATGTCAAAAGTTTCTGTGCTTAGGAAAAAATGTAGAAGAAGGTAAGAAGTAAAAGTAAGTATTTCAATAGCTACTTGCTTTGAATAGCATGGATTTTATTAGCTGAAAAGGACTCAGTGTGACTCCATTGTTATTAGAGGAGGCAACACCCTTAAAATGCAGTATGTAAAAATATTTATGTCTTAAATTTCATATCTCTGATTGAATTGGGCTGTCAACCTAGGCTTTTCTAGAGGTAAGAAGGTTAAAAAGCATTCCTCAGAAGAAAAGTTTAAATGTTTTCATAAGCATTTGTTTAAAAAATAAAATAAATTTTTAAAAAGCCTGTTTTTGATCCAGGAATTGTGACTTCTCACTGTACACAGTGTAAAATGCTTCTTTGTTCCAGTGTGATCTTCTTTTCCTTCATTTCAGGTGGGGCGTTCTCTTCTCCCACCCTCGGGACTTTACCCCAGTGTGCACCACAGAGCTTGGCAGAGCTGCAAAACTGGCACCAGAATTTGCCAAGAGAAATGTTAAAATGATTGCCCTTTCAATAGACAGTGTTGAAGACCATCTTGCCTGGAGCAAGGTAGAGTACCAGTGACATGTGCTTTGAGCCTGAGGTTATAGATCATAGAGAGTAGCTTAGTTTATGAGCTGAGGCTATTAAGTAAACTTCAGGTTCACACTTCACTGATAATTTGAAGACTGCACAGTGACCTCCACATTGCTAATCTAACAGTTCTCAACTATCATTCTTTTTTTGAGGGGGAGGGCAACCAGTAGCATTCAACTAAACTGATCCTAAAGCATTTTCCTTTTTTGGCTCTAGGACATCACATCTTAGTGTTCAAGCCCTTGGATAGATTCCTCATCATCTCCCAATTCCTGACTCATGCTGGAGTTGCCCAGAACTCATTTCCTATTTCTCTCTCTTTTTTTTTCTGTCTATACTCTTTCCCTTAGTGAGCTCATCCACTCACATGTTTAAATTCCATCTGTGTACTGATTGCCAGGCCAGACTCTTGACTTCCAAATTGGACTGTTTATTCATCTCAGACACAAAACTGAGCTCCTGTTCTTTTATCTCAGGGTCTTACACATCTCAAGTAGTGGCAACTACATGTTTTTTTAGCTGCTCACGTCAAAAATGCACTCCTTGTTTTTTTCGCTTTGCATGTCTGATTGATCAAAAAGCTTGCTGGCTCTACCTTCAAAATAAATGCAGGATTATATTTGGATGACTTCTTACCCCCAGTATCTGTGACTTGCCCTCACCCCTTTCTGGTCTTGACTCAAATTACACCTTATTAAGGCCCTCATTGGCCTCCTTATCTAAAATTGTAAGTGCCTTCCGCACTCCCTATTCCCCTTTGAGTAATTTTTCTCAATACTTTATCGCCATCTAAAGTAATCTACATATTGCTTGTTTCTTTTTTTTGTCTTTCCCCATGAGCATGTAGTCTACAGCAGGACAGAGACTACTTTGTGCTGGACCAGTGCTTGTTACTCAGTATATCCTAGGCACTCAGTCTGTATTTGTTGAATGAAAGAATTGAAGAAATTGTCTACTTTCAGCAAGCATTTACTTGGACTGTAATGTTGGCCGTCCAAACTTTCTTGAGAACATTTTAAGGACTTTGCTAAAGTATGGTATTAAATAATAATAATAGCTAACTTTTGAAGGTTGCTTATTGTGTGCTAGGCTCTATGGTTAGGCACTTCGCAACTCAATAAAAGATGTCGTATTTTACTGATTTGTGTGTTGATGACCTTTGGCTATATCCATGGCAATTAATCCTAAGTGTACAAAAAAATCATGCATCAGAGAAAAGGGAAGGGCAATTCTATTTCTTGAGGTGGTTTTTGTTGTTGTTGTTACTCCATTATATTTGTCGGTGAATGTTAACTGGCATTTCTACAGTATTTTCACAGGCGCGGTTTTTCATTAGAGTCTAACAGCAGCCCTTTAAGGGAGATACAGGCAGTCCTAGGTTACAAGTGAGATCCATTCCCAAGTGTGTCTAAGTCAAATTTGTAGATGTGTGTTAGATCAGGTGCATACTTTTTTTTTTTTTTTTTAGTAGGATTTGGGTGAAGATTTACAGAGTAAATTCACTTTTCATACAGCAGTTCACATATACTTTGTCTCATGTCATTGACCAAACTTTACAATGCAGCAGCTCCCCTCCCACTTCCTCCCCATAGTTACCTCCTCCCAGTGTCCATCCCTTCATACTCTTCTGCACCCTGAGCTATCTCCCTGTGCATAAGCAGCCCTTCCTTCTCCCATGATTGTTCTCTCCAGGGCGTGTGTCTACTTGAGGTAAATGTTTAACTCACATGCCTGTACTTTGTTTGGCTGGAAACCACAGTTGTGGGTTCAATTCCAGACCTGAAGGGCAGCTAGGGGCCATAGTCTCAGTGGTTACACCAGGCTCCAATGGACCAGCAAACCTGTCCCCACCTTCTTTTTTTTTTTTTGCCTCCAAATGATTTTGAGTTTTGTTCCACATTGTTCTCCCTCTTTATTGCAGGATCTCCTACATCCCTTCCAAGTGGATGGCAGTGGTAGCTGGGCACCATCTAGTTCTTCTGGTCTCATAGTTGTATAGGTTGCAGATCGGATGGTGTACCAGTCGCTAGGACTGCTTGTTTCCATTAATTTTGGTTTTCTTCTTTCTTCTTGACGAGGAGAGACCCGTTGTTGCATCTAGATGGCAGCTTCCTAGCTTTTAAGGTCCCAGTCGCTACTCGCCAAAGTAGTAGGTGGAACAGTGTTTTGTATAGTATGTTATGCCAATTGAGTTTGATGTCCCCTGCGACTATGGTCCCAAGCCTGCAGGATCAACTACTCAGTCCCTCTGGGTAGCTGGCTGTGACCAAGTAATGACCATAACCTTGCCCCTTGTCAGCTCTACTATACACCTGGGAATTCTGATCATTCACATGAACTTATAGGCCCATTGTCTGCCAACCCTATATATGATCTTGGATACACTCTCCATTTAGACATACATAATTGTTTAGCTTGTTCACCCATCTATCCGTCCCTATACCCATGTTTGCTTTCACTGACAACTCTATTGTATATGCAAAGGGGTTCATATTTGTTGTTTGTACTGCCCATGTAACTCTCTCTGTCTTTCTCATCCTCAATGCTGCCATATTGGTCACTCATATTTGGTACATTGCCCTTCTCTTCACCCAAATCAATATTTATCTCTATCTATCTAACAGCATTCCCTCCCCTTCCCTCCCACCCCTGGTAACCAACAAAGAAAATGTCCTCCAATATATAAACCTTTCCTTAACTTTTACAATAACGGACTAATACAATATTTGTCCTTTTGTGACTGACTTATTTCGCTCAGCATAATGTCCTCCAAGTTCATCCACGTTATGCGGTGTTTTGCAGATTCTACAATATTCTTTAGCGTTGCGTAGTATTCCATTGTGTGAATGTACCAAAGTTTGGTTATCCATTCCTCAGTTGTTGGACATCTAGGTTGTTTCCAAGTTTTGGCTATTGTAAATAGTGCTGCGATGAACATGGGCGTGCATATATCTGTTCTTGTTATGGCTCTCACTTCTTTAGGGTATATACCTAGTAATGGGATGGCTGGGTCAAATGGTAATTGTATTTCCAACTTTTGAAGGAATCGCCATACTGCTTTCCACAATGGTTGTACCATTTTACAGTCCCACCAGCAGTGTATGAGAGTCCCAATCTCTCCACAACCTTGCCAGCATTTGTTATTTTCTGTCTTGTTGAACTTTGATACTAGTGCTGGAGCAAGATGGTATCTGATTGTTGTTTTGATTTGCATCTCTCTAATAGCTTGACTCGACGGCACATAACAACAACAACAACAACAATAGCTAATGATCGTGAGCATTTCTTCATATGTTTGTTGGCCGCTTGAATATCCTCCTTGGTGAAGTGTCTATTCATGTCTTCTGCCCATTTTTTAATTGGATTGTTTGTCTTTTTGTTATTGAGGTGTTGGAGTGTTCTATAAATTCTGCATACATTTTTTATTTAGCCTTACGTTAGTGCAAGAAAGGAGCTCTGGTAGCACAGTGACTTAAGGCATCTGACTGCTAACCAGAAGGTTGATGGTTCAAACCCACCAGCCACGCCACAGAAGCAAGACTGGGCAGTCTACTTCTGTAAAAATTTACCACCTCAGAAATCCCATGGAGGGTTGCTATGAGTTGGAATTCACCCAATGGCAGAGGGTTTTGTATTGGTTTTAGTACAGGAAGAGGCTTGACTCCTTTTCACTGATTTAAAAGCTATACATGGGCAGCAAGTGAAGGTGGCTATGATAAAGAATTTGTGAGTATGGGTTGGTTCAGTTGTTTGAAAATGAAGACATAGTTACTTATTAAAGAGCATCAGTAGGAGTTGCCTGTAAGTGGGTTTTGCCCTCATTTTTTTTTTTTTGCTCAGAGAAATGAAGGGGACTTACTCAAGGTGGCCCAGAAAATGATGGCAATGTAATTTGAACCTCACACTAATGTTCTTTTTGATATGAGATGGCAGTGAGTAGACATTAGCCTGATTTAGGATAAAATACAAGAAGCCCTAGTGGTGCTAACAATTAAGCCCTCAGCTGCTAATGGAAAGGTTGGCAGTTTGAACTCACCCAGCAATTCCTTAGAAGGACCGGGTGATCTGTTTACATAAAGACTACAGTCAAGAAAACTCTCCAGGGCACTTTTAGAAGTTTCCAGTATTGTGAGCGCATTAATAGGAAACAAGTTCCAACCGTCAGAAACAGTGCCAAACTTTGACTTACAACTGATTATATAAGAAACCTCAGGTTGCCTCTAGTATGAAACCATATTGACATACTTAATCATGTTGACTTGATAGGTAGCCAGTGACAACAGAAGGGATATTGAGATTAATTTGTTGCTATCCATTCCAAGGTTTATAAATGAGCAGGAAATGGAATGTGTGGTTAATTGTCTCCGTGAACAATTGCCTACTTTGCATGAGACCAGAAGAACTAGATGATGCTTGGTATTATCACTGAACATTTTGATCAAAGATTCACTAAAAGGATCCTGATCAAAGGGAGAAAATACAGAACAGAATCGCAAATTCTCATGGACTCCAGACTTTCTGGAGCCATGGAGGATGGATGAACCCTGAAAATTATTGCCCCGAGTTAATCTTTTCAATCTTAAACCAAAAATATCCCCCAAAGTCTTCCTAAAAGCAAATAGCTTGGCTTAACTAGTAAAAAAGTTCTGCCTTGAGGATTTGCTCTTTTAAGAACTATCTATGGGATCAAAGTAACAGCAGCACCTAGAAAGAATAGATAGGAACCTGAGGGCAACAGAAACCTTAGTGAGTTTATGTTGATGAGGGAAGAACATTTCAGAAAAGGAGAGTGGGAACAGTTGCACAGCTCAAAGAATGTAAGCAGTGTCATCAAATAGTACATGTAGAAACTGTTGAAGGTGGTGCATGTTTTGCTGAGTATATTCTCAATAACAAAACAAGTTTAAAAATTTTTTAAAGATAATGGATTTAAAAAAAAAAAGTTTATAAATACTACTTTAATTCTGTCCTATCTCTGTTGAGAAATCCATATGCTATCAATCCCAGTTTTACTTTCAAGGCTCCCCATAACATACAGACCTTATTCCAACTTTAAATCCTCCTTTCCATTACTTCCCCAAACTCATCCAGCTAAGTTCATCACTGTCAGTAGTTAATGCTCAGTTTTGCCTACATACTATCATTAATACTCTTCTTTAAAAGTACCTTCCTTTCTCCCCTGTAAAAAATCTTACTCATCTTTTAAGGGGCCAGGCAGAAGTCCTACCTCTTTCTTGAAGTCTTTCCTAGCTCATTAGCCCTTTATACATGGATGATAGTAATCTTCAGCATGTGCAGTCTGCCACTGAATTATTACAGGTTTGTCTTTGCTGTTGCTTCATATGGGAATCACCTAACCAAATTAGAAGTTCCCCTGAGAAGTTCCCCATCTGTATTCCACATTGACTCACTATAGAGTTTAGCCCACCTTAAGTGCTATATCAATGCTTAATCAAATTATGAAGCTAGACTTTTTCCCCAAATAAAGCTTCCAGGGGCAGAAAAAGTAGAAATGAATCAATGAGTATAATTTCATTAGAGGCAGGAGCACATCATTTTCCTTTAGTCCAGACTTTAAGGTGCTTGGTTTTTCTGTGTAGATCTCACTCACCCTAGTATAAATTTATCTTCATCGTTTCACCCAGAGGGATTTATTCTTGTGTTCACTTTAACTTTTGTGGGGTTTTGTTTTGTTTTTTCATTTCCTGATACCTGTCTTGTGGCTTAATGTCTAGGTCAGGGTGCTTTTGAAACAGAGATCAGATCTGCAGGATTTTTTTTTAACATGTCACATTATTTCTTGATGTGCTGGAAATAGTGAACTTATTGTTTCCAATGGTCTTTATATTATTTGGGTACCCAGAAGTACCTTGGATTGTGAACTAATGTTATTCAGTCTTTAAGGGGCTTACTGCTGCTGTCTAAAAGCCGTAAAAGCATTCTGAATTTAAAGAGAATTGAATGTGAAAAAGCTTCATTTTCCATGGTTACAACCTAAGTCCTGTACTCTGTTGTTTCTGAAACAAATAATTGCGATGGTGAGTGTTCATTCTTTCATTTTGTTATTAAAATTGCTAAGAGAAAATTACTACTATATCATGATTTCAGTCCTGTTCCTTATCTTGCAAGATGATGGCTATTAACCAAATAAATTCTGAGGATGTATGTGGCTTAGAGTTCTCTCTCACCTTTCACCTGCATTTCAGGATATCAACGCATACAACTGTGAAGAGCCCACAGAAAAGTTACCTTTTCCCATCATTGATGATAAGAATCGAGACCTTGCCATCCTCTTGGGCATGCTGGACCCAGCAGAGAAGGACGAAAAGGGCATGCCTGTGACAGCTCGTGTGGTGAGTCTTAGAAATCCACTTTGTGGTCTACATGACTGATAAGGCTATATACCCATGTAAATTAATGCTTGGACCAACTAGAGGAAAAGTGGAAATCTCTCTAATGATGGTATAACTGTGTTATCTTTAATAATATTACATGGAATGCCAGTGCAAGGTCGTTGAATTTTTCAACTAAATTATTAAACCACTTAATTCATATCTAGTGTAAATCTACATTGAAAAAAGTAGTTTTACCTTAGAGGTCATCTAGAAATGAGAAATGTTTTCTATAGCTCTCCAGATGGCCCTCTCTCTAAAATGATGGGCCATCAGGTTCATAAAGCAGCTGTGTTTTTTAACTCTTTTTTAAGATATTTTATTTATTTTTTAAAAAAAAGACCAGGTTTGCTGGTCTGATAGAGCCTGGTGAAACCCCTTAGATCATGGCCCCTAACTGCCCTTCAATTCTGGAATTGAACTCCTGTGGCTTCCAGCCAAAATAAAACACCAGCTTATGGGCTGAACATTCACATCAGGTAAATACACTATTTGAGCGATCAATCATGGGAGAATAGAAGGGCTGTGTATGCACAGGGAGGTGTCTGGGGGTCAGGAGTGCATGGGAAGGAAGGACCCAAGGAAGAGCTAACAGTGGGGAGGAAGTGGGAAGAGAGCTGTTGCATTGTGGGAAATTGCAGTCAATGTCATGAGACAAAATGTATATGAACTGTATGGAAAATGAATTTGCTCTGTAAACTTTTGCCAAAATCACAATAAGAATTTTAAAAAATACATTTATTTTTGGTATCAATCAAAAACTATACATGCATTCACAATTTCTACATGAACAGTTCAGTGACATTGGTTACATACTTCACATTGTGTCACCATTCTGTCACTACCCATATTGTTTTATCACCATTAATTTAGGTTCTCTACCCCTTAAAATTCTGTCTGTGCTTTAGATTAATGGTTGTCAGATTATGTTTTTAAACTTTCTTTCTGTCCTCTACCCATTAGAGAACAAATCCAGGCCTACATCTGCTTAAATGTACACTATTTAAGTCCCAATATCAACTCCCATTAGTATTATTTTCATGACAGTCATCCTACTCTGACAGACTTTGACATAGTACCTTTCCTGGGGTTTTTCTTGGATTAATTTGCGTATCAATTTTTCTTACTTGGGACAGCCAAACCAAATATAATTACTTTCTAAACTGAGAAAAGTAACAGAAGAGAACTGTATTCCAGCCACTCAGAGTAACAGTTTGCTTTATCCTTCTTGATTTTTTTTTTTTCCCTCTGTTTTACACCTCCACACCTTTCTCATGATTGCAGTATTTTCTAAGTTGCTTTACTATCAAAAGCACTCAAGGAACTTCCTATGTATGCGTTTCTGTGCTTTGCAGGTGTTTATTTTTGGTCCTGATAAGAAGTTGAAGTTGTCTATCCTCTATCCAGCTACCACTGGAAGGAATTTTGATGAGATTCTCAGAGTAGTCATCTCTCTCCAGCTGACAGCAGAAAAGAGGGTTGCCACCCCGGTTGATTGGAAGGTAAAGATGTTAAGAGGACAGATACTCAACTTGCCTGAAAGGTGTGAGAACCAGTCTAGAAAGGCCTGCCTTCCGGGTGTGTGTTACCTGGGGCTCTGTGTCTGGCATGCAGGTAACACTGGGAGGGTTTTTCCCCAGCGCTGAGTTTAAGATTTACTGAGGGGCCCTTTTCAAGGGCTTTAACACCTTTTATGTAAAACTTAAATTTCCTATAGGGTTTTCTAACTTTTTAGGTTGTTTGAATAAATTAATTGGTCAGAATGATTCCTTTTCCTAATATAATAATTTAAAAAAAAAAAAAATCTATTATCTGACCTTTTCCTGATGGCAAAATATTTATAGCAGAACCTTAATTGGCTACTTTCTTAAGTCATGACTATTTAAGTGTTTGGTATATTCATGTAATGAAGCTTTTCATTTCTTTTAAGCATCAGTCTTTTAAAGTAATATAGAATTCTCTGAAACTTGTATGTAATCTTTTAATCTCTGGGATTTCTGTAGTATGTAGGACATGGATAACAACACAAGAGTGTATTAACATTGCTGACCTGTAGCCAGTTGCCCTTGAGGCTACTCTGATTCTTGGTGACCCCATGTGTGTCAGAGTAGAACCATAAGGTTTATAATGGCTGATTTTTCAGCTGTAGATTGCCAGGCCTTCCATGGTACCTTGGGTGAATTCAAACCTTCAGCTTTTTGTTTAACAGCCAAGCATATTAACTGTGTATACCACCCGGAGACTCCCTTTACAATGCTACATTTCTTAAATATGCTAACCTTAATACCAGGTTTTGTTGTCTTCTGTTGTTGTTTCTTCTGACAGATATATCATTTAAATTCTGTACCCATCAATTGAACATATATTTATTGAGCACCAGCAGTGGGTACTGGGGATATGGCAGTGAACAATACAAATCCCCTGTCCTCATAGAACTGATATGCCAGTGGGTAGAGACAAACTTTAAACATGTTTTTAGTATATTTGGTGTGGATAAGTGCTGCAGGCGGAGCTCTGCTAGCATAGTGCCTAAAGCACTTGACTGCTAACCAGAAGGCTGGTGGTTCAAAGCCACCAGCCACTCCTTGGAAAGAAGATTGGGCAATCTACTTCTGTAGAGATACTGCCTCAGAAACCCAAGGAGGAGTCACTAAGAATCGAAATTGACTTGAGGGCAGTGAGGTTGGTTTTAGTGTTTAAGTGCTACAGGTGCTACAGAGAATATTCAAGCACAGGTGGGAAGAATAGGAGTGGGGGGAAGGGTTGGCTTGATGTCTGGCTCTCAAGGATGGCCTTTCTTCTATAAACTCTTTGAAAAGGATATTTAGAGAGAGTGATGATGAAGCCATTTTTATTTGTGAGGGACAGGCACTCAGAAGGAACAGTTTGTGCAAGGACTTTTACTTAGAAATGACTGTGGCACGTTTGAAAGATAGAAGGAAAGCCAGAGTACCTGGAAAAGAAGCAGCCAGAAGGTGGATGAGGGTGTTGGACAAGAGGCAAGCATATAGGCCAGTGTAGGCCATGGTAAGGACTTAGAATTGGAGTTTAAAGTGTGGTAGCATGCATTGCTGGGATTAGAACAGGACTCCCTGAGTGGGAAAACAGTTAACTAGTGCAGGCTGCTAATCAAAAGGCTGTGGTTTAAATCCACCAGAGGTGCCTTGGAAGAAAGGCCTAATTGCCAAACTATTTCCAAAAAATAAGCCATTGAAAACCCTCTGGAGCCCAGTTGTATTCTGACACATTTGGGCTTGCCATGAGTCAGAACTGACTCAACAGCAACTGGTTATTTCTTATTAAGATGGGGAAATACTTCCTTCACAAAAGTGTCAAACATCAGCCTATGAAAACAAAATTCCTCAGAGGGAAAAAAGCAGAGGATGCGTGATTTTTCTCGTTAACATCTGTAGCTACTTTTCAAAAATTATTCTTGTCTTTAAATGTCAACTATAAGATTGAATTTCACCTTTCTCAATGTCTTTCAATAGGACGGAGACAGTGTGATGGTCCTTCCAACCATCCCTGAAGAAGAAGCCAAAAAACTGTTCCCTAAAGGAGTGTTCACCAAAGAGCTCCCATCTGGCAAGAAATACCTCCGCTACACTCCCCAGCCTTGAGTCTCTCCAGGAAGTTGGAGTTGGAGCTGCTCACTTAGCAAGTGAGCCAGAAGTGCCAGCTGCCAATCATGTTTTCCTGCAGCAATCCCATAAAAACATCCTGATGTGATCACAGCCAAGGTCGTTAGGTTATTCTGCTATTGACTTATTAAATGAAAATGGCACTAAAAATTTCTTGGGATTCTTGACTCTGTGCCTTCACCAGCATTCTGTTCCATTCGTGCATCTCTGTACTCTGCTGGCTCTCTTTGATATATATTGGGATTCAGATCTTGTTGGATCTCTGCAGCGTTTGTGATCAACTAGTTAGTATCACCAATTCATGATTGAAAAGCCTGCTTTACTCCATAATAGAATGACTATCAAGTTTTCAGCTGTCTTAATCATATCCTCTTCTGTTACCCATTTTGATGAGCAGCAGGACTTGAGTTTCAACTTCCTGTGTAAATATCTAAGTATATAACCCAAGAACTTAGAGTAACCTTGATATTCATTATTAAATGTTTTTGACCACAGCTGAGGAAAAACTTTTTCAACATCACTTTTCCAGTAGCTAACTGAAGTGGGGAGAGCAGGGAAGAGGGATCTTTAAATATTTTGCTGTAGGAAAATATTAGTGATAAATTTCTATCAAAGTGGGGAGGCTATAGAGTAGGCTTCCCTCGACTGCCTGGGAGGTGTGTGCCATATGATAAGTGCCTTGTCACTTTCACACAGTATTTTCTGCATGTCGTCTGCTCTGAGGTGTCGCACACATCAAAGAGCACACCTTGGGAAAGAGAGATTTTAAATGTTTTGCTATAGAACTGTTCTTGCAGTGGGCAACTATTTTCTGAATTTTGCTTCTTGGGGATCAGCAAATAAAATCCCTTGTTAAAACTGCATCAGAGAATTGTGTTTTCACGTTTTGAAATAATAGTTTAGACTTGTCTCCTCAAGGGCAGAAGTTTCCTTATTGCCGAGATTGGCATTAGCACTCTTCTCCAAAGACAATATATAAATTGTCATATTGATAATGGAATACCTGAAGAACATGTGCTTTCAATTTCACCATTGGAATTTCTTGGCCTTTCTTCTCCTTTATGACACTTGTCTGGATTCTATAGTCCCTTAAATTTGTGATCCCTGGTACAAAGAGCTTTTCCAACCTGATGCCTTAATGGGATTGCTGGGCTTAACATGAACCTTGAGGATGAGGGCACATCTTTGCATTTCTGGAAGTACAACTATGCAAGGTCCACAACTTACGACAGGATTCTGTTCCTATGACTGTTGTAAGTTGGCTCTGATGTAAACTAAATACCTCTTCCCTTTTTTTTTTTTCAGTTTTCATATCCTGTCATATAGTAGTGTTTTGAACAGTAAATCATAATAGTGAACATCTGAGAATGATAACATCAGCAAATTACACACTGCAACACTGTGTGTAGAACATACTGGGGAAAAAAAATGCAGTGCCATTGAGTCAGTTCCAACTCAGCAACCCTCTAGCACAGAACAGAACTACTTTGTTGGGTTTCCAAGGCTATAAATCTTTATGATTTATAGTTGTTGTTAAGTGCCGTCGAGTCTTTTCCGACTCATACTGACCCCATGCACAGCAGAACGAAACACTGCCCAATCCTGCACCAGCCCCACAATCCCTGCTATACTTGAGCCCATCATTGCAGCCACCGTGTCAATCCATCTCGTTGAAGGCCTCCCCTCTTTCATTGACCCTCCACCCTACCAAGCATGACATCCTTCTCCAGGGAATGGTCCCTTCTTACAACATGACTGAAATAGGTGAGACGAAGTCTGGCCATTTTTGCTTCCAAGGAGCATTCTGGCTGCACTTCCTCCAGGACAGATCTTTTAGTTCTTTTAGCAGTCCATGGTACTTTCAGCATTTATAGAGGGTGCCCCATTCTCCTCTAGAGCAGCTGGTGGATTCAAACTGCTAACCTTTTAGTTTTCAGCCCAGTACTTAAACCACCGTATCATCAGAGCTCCTCAATAATCTGACAAAATGTACACACACAAAGCAAGACAGATGGTCATAAGTGCAGTTTGTCATAACTTGAATATGTCATAAATCAAAGACTACTTGTACTCTAAACTCATAGTCTCTTAAGCTTTTATCATACTTTGATAATAAGTCCTAGGTTTAGAAAGGTATCTTGTGCCTTGTATGTAGCCCTATATATTTCCATTGAGTAGAAGAAATGTGAAACATGAACCCTGGTGCCATGTATTAGACAAGTCACTAAGCTTTAATTTCCTTGGCTTCTCCACATTTAATATTTGGGTAAAATTAAAAGGTTGAGAAAATAAATAAAAATCCAGAGTTGTACAATATCCTAGGGGATGCTGGTCTAAAAGAGGAGGGCTTTTCTCACCCCCAAGTCAATATATTTTTGCCCCTAAAGAACAGATAACTATCTGGTCTCTTTAAGCAAAGGTCTTCTCTTGCCTGATTGCTCTGACCAGCCTGCCTCCTGTTAACTTCCCAAGCTGAGGTTCTCCATTGCTCTCATCTTTTTGCTATTTGTTTTCTTTAGACCTTGGTTTTCTTGGAGAATTTGCCCTTCACTTTTATGGTGACAGTTCATGGTCTAAATTTCCAGCATTAATTAACTTGAGTATTTTGTCTTTACTTGCCAATGCCATGGAATTTACAAATTAAAAGTCAAATTCATCAACTTTTCTTCCCAACTTTAATTATCCTCTTGCCGTGCTCGCTACACTCAGACATCGAAAACCCTGGTATTTTGTTTAAATCTACTCTGCAGTGTAGTTTTTGTTAGGTGCCATTGAGTTATTTCCAACTCGTAGCGACCCTATGCACAGCAGAACGAAACACTGCCTGGTCCCACACCAGCTTCCCAATCCTTGCTATACTTGAGCTCATCGCTGCAGCCACTATGTCAATCCATCTCCTTGAGGGCCTTTGCCTCTTCTGTCTGCACTCCACCTTTGCAAGCGTGACATCATTCTCCAGGGAATGGTCTCTTCTGACAACATGACCAAAGTAGGTGAGACGAAGTTAGCCATTCTTGCTTCCAAGGAGCATGCCAGCTGCACTTCCTCCAGGACAGATTGGTTAGATCTTTTAGTCCAAGGTACTTTGAGCATTCTTTGCCAGCACCACAACTCAAAAGCATCAACTCTTCTTTGTTCTTCCTTACTCATTGTCCAGTTCTCACATGCACATGAGGTGATTGAAAATATCATGGCTTATGTCAGGCACACCTTAGTCCTTAAGGAGACATCTTTGCTCCTCAGCACTTGAAAGAGGTCCTTTACAACCAATTTGCCCAATGCTATATGTCATCTTATGTCCTGACTACTGCTTCCAGTGGCATCGATTGTAAAATCAAGCAATGTGAAGTCTCTGAAAACGTCAATCTTTTCTCCATTTACCGTGATGCTGCTTATTGGTCCAGTTGTGAGGATTTTTGTTTTCTTTATATCGAAATCCATACTGCAGATTGTATTTTTCAATCTTCATCAGTAAGTGCCTCAAGTCATCCTCACTTTCAGCAAGCAAAGTTGTGTCATCAGCGTATTGCACGTTGTTAATGATTCTTCCTCCAATCCTGATGGCACATTCTTCATATAGTCCACCTCAGATTATCTGCTCAGCATACAGATTGAATATGGTGAAAGGATACAACCCTGATACGCTCCCTGATTTTAAGCCATGCAGTGTCTCCTTGTTCTGTTCAAACAACAGCTTCCTGGCCTATGTACAGGTTTCTCATGAGTACAAACAAGTTCTGGAATTCTCATTCTTCTCAATGTTACCCATAATTTGTAATGATCCACACAATCAAGTGCTTTTGCATAGTCAATAAAACAAGAGTAAATATCTTTCTCGTGTTCTTTGTTTTGAGCCAAGATCCATCTGACATCAGCAATTCCACGTCCTCATTCCACGTCCTCTCCTGAAACCAACTTGCATTTGTGGAAGTTCTCTGTCAATATACTGCTGCAACCATTTTTGAATTATCTTCAGTAAGATTTTACTTGCATATGATATTAATGATACTCTTCAATAATTCCACATTCTGTTGGATGACCTTTCTTTGGAATGGGTACAAATATGGATTTCCTCCAGTCAGTTGGCCAGGTAGATGTCTTCCAAATTTGTTGGCATAGCCAAGTGAGTGCCTTCAGGGGGGCATCCATTTGTTGAAACATCTCAATGGGTATTCCGTCAATTACTGGGGCCTTGTTCTTCACCAATTCCTTCAGTGCAGCTTCTACTTCTTCCTTCAATCTCATTGGTTCTTGATCATATGCCACCTCCTGAAATGGATGAAGATTGACCAGGTCTTTTTGGTACAGTCACTCTGTATTCCTTCCATTCTTCTTTTGATGCTTCCTGCATCATTCAATATTTTGCCCATAGAATCTTTCAGTATTGCAACTCGAGACTTAAATTTTTTCCTCAGTTCTTTCAACTTGAGAAATGCTGAGTGTGTTCTTCCTTTTTGGTTTTCTAACTCCGGGGCTTTGCACATTTCATTACAGTAATTGGCTTTGTCTTCTCAAGCTGCTCTTTGAAATGTTCTGTTCAGCTCTTTTATCTTATCATTTCTTCCAAGTACTTTTGCTACTCTGCTCAAGGGCAAGTTTCAGAGTCTCTTGTGGAATCCATTTTGGTCTTTTCTTCCTTTCTTGTCTTT